TGCCCGCCGGGACCCGCTGCAGCCCAGCACCCCTGACGGCAGCCCGGGGGGCAGGGGTCCCCAGTGGAGGGTGGAGGGCTCCAGCCAGGCAGTTGAGATGCTGTCCTTAGAGTCAGGAGGCAACTAAATGGTTAAAACAGAGTGTTTGCAGAGACATCCCCCCACTGCTACCCTCCCCTGACACCCCTGCGCCCTTTCCACAGCCAGCTCAAGGTGTTTGCCACTTCACACCAGTACTTCCAGTACTTCTTTCCGTCCCCCTCGGGAAGCAGAGGCCCGTCCTGCTCTGCTCCCCAGCCCTGCGGAGAGCTGCGAGGACGTGGCCAGCGGGGAAGCCACCAGCCCCACTCCTGCAGGGAGTTCCCCGAGGGCTGGGCTCTTATCACAAGGGGAGCGAAGCAGGGCTGAGCCCTTGATTGCCCCATTATATTCATTTAAAGGTGGCAGTAAGCAGCTGAGCTCTTTCATCTCCTGAAACTTCCCACGAATGCTCTTGCAAATCCATCCCTAGGGTGGGTACCAGGAGAAAGCAGAAGCAAATTCCTCTGTTTTCCTGTGCCCTGCAGGTGGTGAGTGACTCCCTGGACACCAAGTGTAAATGCCACGGTGTTTCAGGCTCCTGTTCGGTGAAGACCTGTTGGAAGGGACTGCCAGACCTGGAGGAAATTGCCTCCGACCTCAAGTCCAAGTACCTGGCAGCCATCAAGGTGACCCACCGGCTCGTAGGGCCCAGGAAGCAGCTGATACCCAAAGAAACGGACGTCAGGCCGGTGAGAGAGACGGATCTGGTTTATCTCATCAACTCTCCCGACTACTGCACGCCCAATCTCCACCTGGGCTCGCTGGGGACGCAGGATAGGTAAGAGACCGGTGCAAATATGCACCACCCCTTGTGAGCCTTCTAATTTCATGTCTGCACCGCTGGGCTGCAGAGCATGCTCCGGGAAGCTGGTGTGGGTGGGCAGTCCCCCGTCAGATGGGGACACTGCAGGGACTGCTGCCAGATCTTTGCGTCTTCAAGTCCCGAGGAGGGCAGGAAGGCAGATGTCCTTCTCGCAGAGCTATGCAGGTGTAAAGGCAGGGAGAGCCCTCGCTGAGAGTCCGTCGGCTCCAATCTCCAGGGCGGGATCCGTCCAGCGAGGGGTCAGGAAGGGAAATGCCTCCTCTCCCTGCAAGCCTTTGGGTGCTGCCTGCCGGTAGCCAGGACGGTTCGGCAGCCCTCGGGGTCTCTTTGCGTCTTCAAGTCCCGAGGAGGGCAGGAAGGCAGATGTCCTTCTCGCAGAGCTATGCAGGTGTAAAGGCAGGGAGAGCCCTCGCTGAGAGTCCGTCAGCTCCACTCTCCAGGGCGGGATCCGTCCAGCGAGGGGTCAGGAAGGGAAATGCCTCCTCTCCCTGCAAGCCTTTGGGTGCTGCCTGCCGGTAACCAGGACGGGTCAGCAGCCCTCGGGATCTGCGGTGCTTCCCAGATGTCTCCTTTCTGGGGCAGGGTAGGGGGGAGTTTTTAGAGGGATGGGGAAGGCTCATCTGAAGGCTGAGCCGGGGCTGCCTCAGGGCTGTGACTTGCAATCCCTGCTAGACTTAGCAGTAGCAGAAGTTCCCGGTCCCAGCCATCCACCCTTCCTCCTCCATGAGAAGCTCCTGCCCCCAGCGTGAGCGTGCCCAGGCTCCGCCGCGGCTGCTCGCACACTGCCCCGG